GAGACTGTCTCTTTATCCCCAAAGGCTGGTGGCATTATGTGCAGGCAGACTCCAACAGCATTTCCATCTCCAACTGGTTTCAGGCCTAGCAGCAGCAGCAGCAGCAGCAGCAGCAGCAGGGACAGCAGCAACACAGACACCACAGCAGCAGCAGCAGCAGAGGCGGCGAAAAAATCTTGCTGCCACCGGCGGTTCTGCTGCAGGCACTCATCTAGTCTACGCTCAGTTTGCAAAGCAGCAGCAGCAGCAGCTGCTGCTGCTGCTGCTGTTGCTGCTGCTTGTGGTGCCCTTGATGCAGCTGCCGTCGCTGTAGCCTCAAAAAGGGCTGCTTCTGCAGCAGATAGTGACAGCAGCAGCTTCTGCTGGCGTTGCCGCAGCAGGTGCTGCTGCAGCAAGTCCTGCTGCAGCAAGTACTGCTGCAGCAGCACCTGGCGTCGCTGTTCTTGCTGCAGCTGCTAGCAAAGTGGGAGCAGCAAATGGACTCCCCAGTGGGCAGTTAGGAGGGACAGGGGACAGCCGGCTGCTGCTGCTGCTGTGCTGCTGCTGCTGCTGTGCGGGCAGCACCTACAGCAGGAGCCGCTGCTCCAGGGCTGCTGCAGCAGCACAGCAGATGATGCGCGTGCTGCTTCCTGAGCAGTAGCAGCAGCAGCAGCAGCAGCAAATTCGGGCTGCTGCAGCTGCTTGTGTCCCCGTGGAGCGCGTTGCTGCTGCAGCAAGCTGCTGCACCTGCAGAGACTGCTGCCTAGCAGCAGCAGGGCCAAAACCTGGCCCTCTGGAGTTTGCTGCTGCAGGCAATTGCTGCAGCACTTTTGCTGCACTGCTGCTGCAATACTGCTTCTAGGGTTGGCTAAGTGCAGCAACAGAGAGAGCAGCACACTGCCGTTTGCTGCTGCAGCAAAGGAGCCAACACTGGCTCTCCTTTCCGGCTCGCAGGCACTGACTGCCTAAACCCTAAACCCTAAACCCTAAACCCTCGTGCGGGCTCCAGCTTGCCCAGGGGCTAGACTTGGCTTAAAGCTGCGTGCGCCCTTATTGCTGCTGCGCTGCTGCAGCAGGTGTGGGGCAGCAGAATATTATTTTCGTAAAACGGAATTAAGAGATTTAATTTCTAAATTAATTTAATTAAAAGTTTCATTTTATGTACTCGAGGGAATCGAACCCCCGAGCCTGCTGCTGCAGTGCCCTGCTGCTGCTGCTGCTGCTGCTGCTGTTGCTGCTGCTCACACAAACTGCTGTGGCTTTGGCCGGAGCTGCTGCTGCTTCAGCACAGGCGCTGCAGCTCGTGGGGCCTGTGGCCCCTGGGGGGCCCCCCAGGGGCCCCCCGGGGGCCCTGGGGGCCCCCGGGGGCCCCCAGGGTCATTAGGGGCCCCCGGGGCCCCTGGGGGCCCCCAGGGGCCTCCAGGGGCCCCTAGTGGTCCTGGGCTTTGGCCCTTTTCTTTGCTGTGGGGCTCGGGGTGGGGCCCCCCGGGGTCCGTGTGGGGTTTCTCTAAACCCTAAACCCTAAACCCTAAAACAAACACTGAGCAGCAGCAACAGGCAGGGAAGCAGCAGCATTTAGAGGCCCTTAAAGGGCCTGCAAAGCCCCTTTTTGGCGCTGCTGCTGGCTGCTGCTTGCTGCTGTTTGCTACTGTTCGCCGCTGCTCGCTGCTGCTCGCTGCTGCTTGCTGCTTCTTGAAAAGGCCCACAGCCTGCAGTAGGCTAGGCCCTGGCAGCCACTTTTGCTGCAAAAGGCGCCAGCAGTGGCCCCGGCAGCAGCACAGGCTGCTGCTGGCGGTCGTGGCCAGCAGCAGTAGCAGCAGCAGCAGCAGCAGTAGTAGTGGGGGTGTTTTGGCTAGTTAAGCTGGGCCAGGCGGAGGGGCTAAGGCTCGCAATTCTAGAGATCTGGCTGGCTAAGAGGAACTAGCAGCAGCTCGAGCTGCTGGAGAGGCAGAGTTTGCTGCTCTTTTGCTGCTGCTGGGGTGTACGTACACCCTCAGCAGCTGCGTGGCCGCGCTGCTGCGCTGCAGCAAAGCTGCACTTCCAGGGAGAGCCCTGGGCGCCGGGAAAGACACAGAAAGACACAAGTAAACGAAAACCCACAAAAAAGGCAGAATCTGCTGTTGAAGAAATGCATAATAACAAGCAGCAGCGCAGCAGCAGAGTGGCTGCTCCAGGACTGGCAGCTGCAGCTGCAGCTGCAGCTGCTGGCAGCAGGGGGGAGTCTTGTGTGCTGCTGCTCTTCGGATCTGCGACTTTCGCCCCGCAAATGGCCTTTTAATTTCAGTTAGTGAAGAATTCTTTGTTGTAACGCAGTCGAGGCGGCCGAAGCTGGTGCTGGGAGCAGCAGCAGCAGCAGCTGCTGCTGCTGCTGCTGCTGCAGTGGCGTGGCTTGCAACTGCGGACGAGCGCGACCCCGATTTTGGCATTTTCCCGCCATTTTTCCCGGTTTTTGCGCCCCATTGACTTTGTAAATATATTTAATGTAAATTAATGCAAAAAGATTTTCGGAAAAGCCGCGGGAAAACCCCTACACCAAACCCTAAACCCTAAACCCTCGGCGGGGTGGTCGCGGGCCATCGATCTGGTGGGCGGCGTGGAGCTGCTGCTGCGCGCTGCAGCAGCACGCGAGTTTGCGTCTCTTTCTGCTTTTAAATGCTGTTAAATGAATTAAAATTTTCAATTTTTGTTTTTTTTATTCATTTGAAGTCTTTTTGACACATTTTGGCCTTTCGCTCCCGCCGCCCCGCGCCAGGCTCGAAGCGACCTCGCACAGTCCCTGCTGCTGCTGCTGCTGCTGCTGCTGCTGCACTCCGCCTCGATTGACTCAATTTCGGGCGCTTTTTGACTCTTGGATTTGTTTTTCGAGTCGGTTTGCGAGGTCAGCTGCTGCTGCCGCTGCTGCTGCTGCTGCTGCTGCTGCTGCTGCTGAAGTAGAGACGTTGCCGCTCGCTGGTGTAACCGCTGGTGCTCGAGCTGCTGCAGGGTCTGTGCTGCTGCTGCCCTGCTGCTTTTGCCGTGCTGCGCCATTCTGCTGCATTTTCTGCTTCAGTTGCTGCTGCACCCTGCCCAGCCTGCTGCTGCTGCTGCTGCTGCTGCTGGTGTTCCGTGTCGTCGGCAGCAGGCGCTGCTGCGCAGCGCAGCAGCAGCAAAAGGCTCTGCGCGTTTAGGCCCCCGGCTTTCTGGGAGCAGCAGAGCTGCAGGTGTGGGGCCATTGCTGCTGCAGGTTTGCTGCTTGTGCTGCTGCGGTTGCTGCTGCTGCGCAGAATGGTGTCGCTGCGCCTGCTGCTGCTGGGCCTCGCCTGCTGCGCTGCAGTAGCGGCTGCTGCTGCTGCTGCTGCTGAGGAGCCCCAGGAGGCCCCAGAGCGCCCCAAGACCCCCGTGGAGGAGGTGGAAGCTTTGCTGCGGGGGGATCCCACCGCGGATGACACCCGACGTAAGGGTTTAGGGTTTAGGGTTTAGGGTTTTCGAGGGTTTTTGCGCCTGCTACGCTGCTGCTGCGCTGCTGCTGCTGCGTTGATGCTGCTGCACTGCTGCCGCTGCGCGGCCGCAGCCCCGGGCCGCCCGGGGCGCCATCCCCCGCTTCTGCCGTGCACCCGCGCCCCCCTGCTGCTGCTGCTGCTGCTGCTGCTGCTGCTGCAGCAACTGTGTGCACAATGGAGTATTTGCCAGTTAAAGACACGAAGACTGGGAAGGAGTACAGCAACCAGTGCATGGCTTTAGCTGCTGGCGCAAACCCTGAGGACTTGGTCCCGCTGCAGCCGCCCACGAGCTCCCAAGCCCCAAACCCTAAACCCTAAACCCTAAACCCTCAAGACTGAGCCCCAGGCCCGGCCCCTCGCGGCCAATAGAGCCGCGCCTGCGGCGCCCTCGCCGCGGCCAGCTGCCGCAGCTAGCTGTGGCTAGCTAGCCCAGCTAGCTGTGGCTAGCCAGCGCAGCTAGCTGTGGCTAAGTAGCGCAGCTAGCTGTGGCTAGCTGGCGCAGCTAGCTGTGGCTAGCCAGCAATGAACTGCCGGCCCCGCGGCCAGTGGCTAGCTAGCGATTTGCGCTGTTTGATTTGATTAAGATTTTGAGTTTGAATTTGTGGCGCAAGAGGCCCTGGGGCTGCATGCAGCAGCAGCAGCGCAGCTGCTGCGCTGCTGCTGCATGCAGCAGCAGCAGCGCAGCAGCAGCAGCAGCTGCTGCTGCTGCTGCAGCGAGGGAGACACGCCGTAGAAGCAGACAGGGTAGGCCACAGCGCAGCAGCTGCGAATGAGTACACATTAGCTGAGACGGCCCCTGCAGCAGTCGTGGCTAGCTGGCTAGCTAGCTGCCTGGCTAGCTAGCCAGGCAGCTGGCTAGCCAGACACGCGCTGCACTGCTGTTTCTCCAGCAGCAGCAGCTCCTCAGCACAGGGCACTAGCTGGCTAGCTGCCTGGCTAGCCAGCCGGCTAGCTAGCTGGCTAGCTAGCTGCCCGGCTAGCTAGCTGGCTAGCTAGCTGGCCAGCTAGTTGGCTAGCCAAGCCACGCGCTGGGCAGCAGGGAGAGCCGCCTAGTTGGCCTAGCTAGCCAGCAAGGTGGTGGGCATAGCTAGCTAGCTAGCTAGCTGGCTAGCAGCTCTAGCTAGTGGTTTTGGCTAGCTAGCTAGCTAGCTAGCTAGCTGGCTAGCAGTTTTAGCTAGCTAGCTAGCTAGCGGGCCTAGCTAGCTGGCTAGCTAGCGAGTCAGAAAGTGCTGCAGAGGGAAATGGTCTGAAACTTGTCTTAGCCCTTTGCAGCGTCCTGCGCAGCAGCAGCAGCGCAGCAGCAGCAGCGCAGCAGCGGCTGCAGCAGCGCTGCTGCTGCGCTGCTGCTGCGGCTGCGCTAAGTGCTGCTCGCGCTGCCGCTGGGTCAGCTGGGCCCCCGAGGGCCCTGCTTAAACCCTGCACCTCCAAACCCCAAACTCTAAACCCTAAACCCTAAACCCTAGAGGGGCGGCAGCGACTTGGCGGCTTCGAGCACATGGTGCGGCAGCAAAACCCTCATGGGGATCGACTCCTCCCTGGGATCGGGATCGTCTTTTTCTGCTGCTGCTGCTCCTGCTGCTGCTGCTTCACCCCTTAGGGGGACCCCCAAGGGGGGCCCACACTGCTCGAACTCCCGCGCTTCTAGCTGCTCCGCAGCGGTCACCAGCTCTGCAGACAAAGAGCAGCAGCAGCAGCAGCAGCAGCAGTAGCAGCAGCAGCGGTAGCAGCAGCAGCAGCCGCAGCAGTGAGGCACAGTAGGAAGCGCTCGCACAAGCAGCGGAAAGGCGGCAACAGCAGCCCGGAGCGTGTGCTGCTGCTTGCTGCTGCTGCTGCTGCTGCTGCCGTGCCCTGCTGAAGGCACTGCAGCAGCAGCAGCCGTAACAGCAGCAGCAGCAGCAGCAACAGCAGCCCAACCACCGCAGCAGCAAGGCACCAGCCTGGACAAGCACCAGCAGCAGCCGTTCGCGCGGCAGCAGCTGCAGCGGCGTCCCGCCACGCGTCAGCAGCAGCCCTTCGCACAGCAGCAGCAGCAGCAGCAGCAGCAGCAGCAGCAGCAGCGGACCAACGATGTAAACCTTGACAGCAGCAGCAAGAACCACCAGCACCTCCTCCAGCTCCGGAGGCGGGGGGGCCATTTCTGCGTCAAGCCAACGGCCCCAAGACTCCTTGGGGGCCCCCGGGGGCCCCCTTGCTTCTGCTGCTGCTGCTGCTAGCATGGCTTGGTGCAGCATGGGGCGGTTGCCGCGCAGCTTTGCTGCTGCTGCTGCTGCTTCCGGGTGCTGCTGCAGCACCTGCTGAATCTGCTGCACGCACCACTGCAGCGAGTCTTCCTTCACAGACACAGCAGCAGAACTGGGGGCCCCCTTGTCTGCTGCGGGGGCCCCCCCAGCTTCTCCTGCTGCCTGGTTGCCACCAGCAGCAGCTGCTGCTGCTGCTGCTCCTCCTGCTGCTGCTGCTGCTGCGGCCTCGTAGTAGCGCTCAATGTCTATGGGCGTCGTGCACCCGCGAATGGCTGCCGTGGGCTCGGCAGCAGCAGCAGCAGCAGCAGCAGCGGCAGCAGCAGCAGGGTCTTCCGGGGTTCCCTGCGCCGTGTCTGGGGCCGCGCTATGGGGGCTCGCTCCCGCCGCTCCTGCTGCTGCTGCTGCTGCTTGGGGGCCCCCCCTTGTGCTGCTGCTGGCCTTTATGGGCCCCTGCAAATAACGCATTAAAGGGTTTAGCCTAAGGCGGGACCTCCTGGCCATAATGAGGCGCCGCAGGGGGGGCTCTTGCTGCGGCGCGGGGGACTCTGCTGCAGCATCTGCTGCTGCTGCTGCTGCTGCTGCAGCAGCAGCAGCTGCTGCTGCTGCTGCTGACGAGCGCGAGGCCGCCCCCAGACGCACCGGCTGCGCCTGCCGGCGAGGGGACCCCCGCGAAGACACGGGGAAGCTCCGGTCCGGGTGGCCCCCGCTGCTGCTGCTGCTGCTGCTGCTGCTGCAGAGGCCGCCAGGGGGCCCCCTCCGCAAACCCTGACCCAACACTGGGGGCCCCACTGACATCGAAGGCGACATAAAGGGGGGCCCCTCGGGGGCCCCCAGGGGCCCCTGGAGGTGTGGGGAGTAGACGGCCACGGGGCCTGCGCAGCAAACCGAAGCAACGGATGCAGCAAGGAAGCACACTTCAATTTGCTGCTGCTGCTGCTGCTGCTGCTGCTGACGACGGCGGCCGACGTGCGGCTATGCTGCTGCAGTTGCTGGTCGTGCTGCTGATAATGACCTACTTGGGGTTGGCGACATCTGGCGCATGTACAGCTGCTGCTGCTGCTGCTGCAGTTGCTGCTGCTGCTGCAGTTGCTGCTGCTGCTGCTGCAGTTGCTGCTGCTGCTGTTGCTGCTGCTGCTGCTGCTGCGGAGTGACCATGCGGTGGGGCTGTTGCGGTTGCTGCGGCTGCATACCTAGACGCAGCCCGCCAAGGTACGGCTGCTGCATCTGCTGCTGCGTCATCTGTTGCTGCAGTTGCTGCTGCTGCTGTTGAACCGCACGGAGGCGCTGCTGCTGGAGAAGCTGTTGCTGCTGCATTTGCTGCTGCTGCTGAGAGAGCAATATTTGGCGCTGTGGACTTTGCATTGCTGTCTGCTGCATCTGCTGTTGCAGCAGCTGCTGCTGAAGCTGTTGCTGCTGCAGCTGCTGCTGCTGTAGCTGCTGCTGCTGCAGCTGTTGCTGCTGAAGCTGTTGCTGCTGCAGGAACTGCTGGTGCTGCTCCTGTTGCATTTGCTGCTGATGGTGAGAGCTTAAGAGCTGCTGCGGCGCGTGCTGCAGCGGCTGCCGCTGAAGTTGCTGCTGCTGCAGTTGCAGTTGCTGCTGCTGCAGTTGCTGCTCCTGTAGCTGCTGCTGCTGCAGCTGTTGCTGCGGCAGCTGTGGTTGTTGTATCGGCTGCTGAAGGCCGTGTAAAGGCGGCTGCAACGGCTGCGGCTGCAGCTGTTGCTGCGGCTGGAGTTGCTGCTGTGCCTGCCTTTGCTGCTGCTGCTGCAGTTGTTGCTGCTGCTGCGGTGGCAGCAGCGGCGCGCCGCCTTGCTCATCGCCCGTCAGCATAGGTGGGACCTTAATTTATATCCGGAGCTGCTGCTGCCTTTATATCTGCCGCTGCTGCTGGCTGCTGCTCTTCGGGGCAGCAGCAGCTGCTGCTGCTGCGCTTGCTGCTGCTGCTCTTCCCCACTGCAGCTGTTGCTGCTACAAGTGCCTGTCGCCGACTCCCCCAGGCTCAGGTTTCACGCCCTTTGCTGCAGTGGCAAAGACAAGCGATCAACACGTTGCTGCTGCTATGTGCAGGATCTGCAGCAGCAGCAGCAGCACCGGCGGCAGCAGCAGCAGCAACAGCGAGAGCACCAGGATTTGGCTTCTCTGGATACAAATGAAAAAATCGGACTTTACTTTTTGTTAAAATACTCTTTCTGTCTAGCGCAAGAGGTGTAGGCTAATGCTGCAGCTGCTGCGCTGCTGCTGCGTGCTCGGGGCTGGGCAGCAGCAGCAGCAGCTGCTGCTGCAGCAAGCCGCGCCTGGTCGTTTCAGCAGCAAATAGAGCAAAACAGCAATTATAGGCCAGTGTGCCTCCTGCAGCAGCAGCATGCAGCAGAGGAAACGGCACGAGCAGCAGCAGCAAGTGCTGCAGCTGGGGCAGCAGCAGCGGCAATTGTGTGTGTAGCTGGGAGAGGCTGCAGCTGCAGCGACAACAGCCGAAGCAGCAGCAGAAGACGCAGCAGTGCTATTGCGCGAAGCGCGCTGCAGCTCCCAGCGCCACCAGCTCAGCAGCAGCAGCAGCAGCGACAGCAGCAACGACGACAGCTGAGCCGCAGCAGCAGCAGCCCTATTCGCAGTGGCAACTATAAGCCCTTTAGGAGAGCAAACTCTCACGGGGCTGCTGCTTCTGAACGCTTTGTGCTGCTGCTGCTGCTGCTGCAGCGGCTGCCCCTGGGTGCAGTCACTGTGTCCGGCTGCTGCAGCAGCACATCACGCATCTCCAAGAGCAGCAGCAGCTGTCGCTGCAGCAGCAGCAGCTGTCGCTGCTGCAGCAGCAGCTGTCGCTGCTGCTGCTGCAGCCTCTCCCGCCCACGTGGCTGCAGCAAACAGCCCACCCCAGTCCTCCACCCAGCAGCAGCAGCAGCAGCAGCAGCAGCAGCGCGCCCCGGAGCCCCCCCGCAGCAGCAGCAGCAGCAGCAGCAGGATGAACGTGGCGCGGGTGCGGGGCGTGCTGTCTTCGCACTATTTGTTCGAGCCTTACTGCTGCCTGCAGCACTACAAAAGGGCTTTGAAGTTTTTGCTGCAGCTGCAGCGGGGCGGCGGTTTGCTGCTGGTTGTGGGGCGGCGGCAGCAGACGGAGTTGGCGCTGCAGCGGCACTTCCCGGGCCTCGCCGTCGCTGCTGCTGCTGCTGCGGGGCCCCACACGCAGCAGCAGCAGCTGCTGGCAGCAGCAGCAACGCGCTACAGCGCGCTGCTGTGTCTCGACTGTGTGGCTTTTGGGCCATTTCTGCAGAACTTGAACTTGCCAGTTTTGGGTGTATGTACACCCCGCGAGGTGTACGAACACCCCGAGCTGCTGCAGGTCATTGACTACCTCATTCCCCACAGCAGCAGCAGACACGACGCAGCACTTCGCAGACTCCTCGAAACCCAGATCCTTGGCGCCGACAGCAGCAGCAGCAGCAGCAGCAGCGGCAGCAGCGGCAGCAGCAGCAGCGGCGGCGGCGGGGGAGGGGGAGGAGGGGCTGCGCAGGAGGCAGCAGACGCGCTGCAGCAGCAGCAGCAGCAGCAGCAGCAGCAGCAGCTCTACACGGGGCAGGAGCAGCAGCCGCAGCAGCAGCAGCCGCTGCTCGATCGCAGAGCCCATAAGCACAGCTGGGGGAACCAGCTGCAGGACCACCTCGGCCGCACGCAGCAGCAGCAGCAGCAGCAGCAGCAGCACCCGTACACGCACTATCCGCAGCAGCAGCCGCAGCAGTACCATTACCTGCATCAGTACTACCAGAAGCAACAGCAGTACAACCAGCAGCAGAGGCAGTGGCTGCAGCAGCAACAGCTGCAGTACCAAAAGGCGCAGCAGCAGCAGCAGCTGCAACAGCAGCAGCAACAGCTGCAGCAGCAGCTGCAACTGCAGCAGCAGACGCGCCGCTTCGGGCGGCGGCACTAATAGGTCCCTCAGAGAGCCCAGGTGTATGTACATTCACTTTGCTGCAGCAACAAATATATTCTTTTGCTGCTCATTTGTTTTGATTTTTATTATCCTGCTGCTGCTGCTGATGAATCTGCTGGTGCTGCTGATGAACCTGCTGCTGCTGCTAACCCAATAAGAAGCAAACAGCAACCAAAACTAAAAAGGGCCTCAAAACCCCAAGGGGGCCCCTTGGGGGCCCCTAAGGGGCGCCTAGGGGGCCCTCAGAGGGCCCCCTAGGGGCCCCTGGGGGCCCCGTAGGGGCCCCCATTGGCAGTTTTGGGTAAGAAAGTGGCTCTTAGGTCCCCCTGTGGCTGCGTAGGGGGCCCCCGAAGCGGTCTTTTAGCCAGAAGTTCTGGGTTTTTGCTGCTGCTGCTGATGGCTTGGGGCGAGAGCTGGAGAGCTAAAGCATGTAAGGGAGAGGAACTGCTGCGGCTGCTGCTGCTGCTCGTGGTGCTCGTGCTGCTGCTGCTGGCTGATGGAGCTGCTGCACCCTTGTGGCCGCGGCTGCTGCTGCAGCTTTTTTGCTGCGCCAGCTGCTGCTGCTGCTGCAGTTGTTGTTGTCGGATGAGGGGCAACGAGTCTGCAGATAACGCCAAAAGAAATGAAATAAACTTTTAAATAAACTCGAAGTCAAATTTCCGACGTGAGAGCAGCAGGACTGCCGTGTCCAGACACCGCAGCCGACAGCAGCAGCAGCAGCAGCGGCTTCTTTTTGGCTGCAGCAGCAGGGAAAAAGAAAATAACTGCGGGTTTAGGCTTGCGAGCCTCCACTTCCTTTTATATCTTCACGGAAATAAACTTAACGGGCTTCTGATGTTGCTGCTGCTGCTGCTGCTGCTGCTACGGTGCTCAGATGAGGTCACTGCGGCACAGGAGCGGCAGCAGCAGCAGGACCAGCAGCAGCAGCAGCAGCAGCAGCTTGTCCAGCAGCAGCTCGCCCACAGTGTTCATGCCTTTTTAGCTAATTTTTCAAAGACAAAAGAAAGAAAAACAATAAAAAATTAAAGTTTTTTATTTATTTGAAAAAAATGGACATAAATTGCGGCAAACGGAGGACAGCTGCACCGCCGACCTCGCGCCCAGCAAGCTGCTGCTGCTGCTGCTGCTGCTGCGGGGGACAGCAGCAGCAGCAGCAGCAATATCGATCTTCGGTGGCTTCGGACTGAAAGCTTTTGCAGTTTTCCATATTTCATAAGCAACCGGACTTCAAATTGCTCATTGCAGGGGCAGCAGCAGCAGCCACAGCCACGGCAGCAGCAGCAGCAGCAGCAGCAGCAGCGAGGCAGCACGCTCGACCTCGACTAGAGTGTCTCCTCTGCACTGCGCAGCGGCCGCTCGAAGCTTCTTTCTTTCCACTTTCTTCAAAGGAAGTAGGGTTTAGGGTTTAGGGTTTAGGGTTTAGGGTTTAGGGTTTGGGAGATGTCGCGCCGCAGAGAGCCCAGCGAAAGAAGGAGAGAGAGAGACAAACGAATGACAGTCGACGTCGAGGGCACTCTGCAGCTTCCCCAGGACACAACGCAGCTGCTGCAGCAGCAGCTGCAGCAGCAGCACGTGCTGCAGCAGCAGATGCTGCAGCAGCAGCAACAGCAGCAGCAGCTCCTGCATCACCACCACCACATGCTCCATGGACCACTGGTCCACTGCATAAGCCAGCCTGCGCACATGCCCTGCATGCAGGTAATCAAACCCGCGGAAGATGCAGCAGCAGCAGCAGCTGCTGCTGCTGCAGCTGCTGCTGCTGCTGCTCCTCCCGTAGCCCCACAAGCTGTCTATCAGGTGTACGGGCAGCCCGCAGCAGCAGTCATGAGCCCACAAGGCCCCTATGTTGAAGTGCTGCAGCAGCCGACAGCAGCGGCCCCCCAGAAGCAGCAGCAACAGAAGCAGCACTGCATGCGGCAGCAGCAGCAGCAACAACAACAAATGCCGCAGCAGCAGTACGTTCTGCAGCAGCCGCAGCAAGCCATGATGCTGCCGCAGCAAATGATTCTTCCGCAGCAGGTAGCAGCAGTGCAGCAGCCACCCATGGGCGCCTTGCCACAGCAGCAGCAAGTGCTGCTGCCAGCAGCAGCAGCAGCAGCAGAAGTCCCCGGAGTGGCCCTGCAAGGTGCAGCAGCACCAGTGGCTGTTTACCCCTACGGAGGGGCGCCAGTGGTGCAGCAGCAGCCCTACGTGCTGCAGCAGCAGCAGCCCTACGTGTTGCAGCAGCAACAGCCCTACGTGGTGCAGCAGCAGCAGCCCTACCCCATAGTGATCCAGCAGCAGCAGCAGCCCGTGCTGCTGCCAACAGCAGCAGTATCTTATCCCGGGGCTCTTGCTGCAGTGCAGCAGCCAGCTGTGGTGATTGCAGGGCCCGGCGGCACCCTCTTGCTGCAGCAGCAGCCACCCATATTCCGCCGAACTCAGCAGCAGCCGCAGCAGCAGCAGCAGCAGCAAAGTCGATTCTGCTGCATGTAAGCATGGGCTTCTGCTGCTGCTGCTGCTGCAAGCACAGGGCCTCTCTATCACTCTTGCTGCTGCCACTCAGCTGCTACTGCACGTGAAGCAACAGCAACAGCAGCAGCAGCAGCGCAAGTGGCAGCAGCAGCAACAGCAGCATCAGCAGCAGCAGGCTTGGGTCTGCAAACTTCCCTCCGGGAGTCGAAGAAAACAAGAGAAGTATTGAGTGCTTTCTAGACCCTTGCATTCAATAAAAGCAATTAATCAAGTTAAGTTAATTAATCAATTAATTAATTAATTTA